CCTTTCACCCCATTTATTCAATCTGTATGGAGTCAGTAATCAAGGAAGCTTGATTATAGAAGAAGAACATGGCATCAAGATTGGAGGAATAGTTCTCTGGGAAGCCGTCAAGCAATCAAGTTCCTTCAGGATACCCCCTTCTAAAACTGAAACTCAAAGGGAACACATGAACAGGCATGTAAGATTGCTTACATAGACATTGTTCTACTAGTGAGTGGAATAGGGGGAAAGGCAGCAATGAAGAAATAGGCTGAGTTCAATCACACTTCATAGACTCCCATTGACCTGGAGATGAAAGAGAGATGAGGAACGCCTGGTTGGTCCAAAGTGTGGAGGGACCTGGGGACATCTGAGCCCATGGACAAGGACATAGCCACAGAGGCCTAGAGCTGAGAGTGAAACATCCAGCTGATATGATATGAGGGGAGACTCACAAGAACACCCAAACTTGCAGATAGTACCCTTTTGACCTAGCCTCAATGGCTTGATAATCAGTACTTGACTAGAGGAAGATAAAAAACAAATAAACAAAAGTAATAATTTTTGATAAAGGAAATGAGAGTAAATTCCTACAATTTGATGAACTTGGCCTATAATCAAGGAGGTTGTAGCTCTAAATACTAACAGACAGGGAAGAAGTCTTCACATCAAATATCAATGTTATCTATCCCTTCTGTACACAGGGTAGATAGGGACAGGCAACTTAGACATAGGCTACCTAAAATGAGGAGGCGGTAAAGGCATATGGTGACTGGCTTACAAGGTTTCAAGAGGGAGTTTAATTTAAACGTGTGTGGGAGAAGATAGAGTCCCACTGAATAGTTTTGATCTTGTCAGATAGGTCTGGTCAAAAGAAATGGGGATACGATTCTTATTATTTAATAGTGAGTAATTGTTATAATGACTAATTGTGACTGTCACAATTGTAAAGGTAGATGTTTCATAACAAAAAACAGAGGGGGGGAAATTTAATCTTACAGTACAGAAAGAAAGGATCCTAGGACCATTAAAGGAAAAGACACAAGCAGAATTTGAGACTTTATCCAG